ATGTCCCCCCTCCTATAAATACCCAACCCCCCAAAAAAAAAAAAAACAAATAAAGTACATTTGTAGTCATTTTATTGAATTTGTTCTGATCTTTTATTATTATTATCACCACTGTTGTTCATTTTCTTACAAACATGTCCTTTTCAGTTTATCATGTATTGTGCATGGATCCTTAGAAATTTGCTCATGCTGGTTGCAGGGCTGTTCGCATTGCTCCTTTCTCCAACAGATTAGCTCAGGCAGTACCCTCAAAAATCCAAGGGCTTAGGTGTTTTGCCAATTTTGGAGCTCTTAGATTTTCAGAACCTATAAGAACACTTGCCGAAAGAATGGTTGACCGGATGGTTAAATATAGCTCCCAAAGTGGTGGGAAATACGTTTCGGTGCATCTTCGTTTTGAGGAGGTGTTTTTCTAATACTTTTGTACTTATATTGTTGGATTTACTAGATACTGTACTGATGCATAATGGATGAGCAAAATTTAGAATAATTTTTTTAATTTTATTTATGATAATTTAGGGATCCCTGCCCTTGATAAATCATTATATTTTAGCTTTAATATTTGAAGGGAGAGGTTGCTACATGTCTAAATCTGATTATAACTTATAAATACCCTATCAATTGCTTTATGTTGGTATATTTTGTATATTGTTCATAAACAGACTATAGTCAACTTTGGATTCCTGTGTTTTGGTTCCTTGGTTCTACATCAATTGATATTAAAAGCTTATCCTGCAAGTTAAAACAACACATTGCACCAGAACACTTTTCTCTGGCAATTTTCTGTAAATTGGGCAAGCACTAAAGTTTCTGTGTACCAGGAATACACACAACACACTTGTTGATATTGCAAATATTAATTTCTTCATCCACTGAATGCTAAGCACAGATCAAGAGCTACGAAAACCACACCATTGTCTTCTTCTGTCATAGAAGGCTGCTGAAATAAGCTCATCTAGAGTATTAAGTTTCTGGATCTTATCTTTAATCCATCCACGGGAGTTGTTCAATTAATAAAACAAAAACAGGTCAAGGAGGCACTTAATGGTCTTCACGCACCATCAATTACCAGAGTGGTTTCTTGCATCTCTCTCTTCTTGTGGATATGCTATTCTGAGTGATGGATAAGCCTGCATGAGATTTCACTATTGCTCTCCGTAAATTGCAGGAGGAGAATGATGTAGAATAAATAAAGATAGTTTAGGATAATTTAGGTTATTTATATGATTTTACCTCATATCAAGATATGTTCATTTTATTTTAGCTTTTGGTATTTGTTTATCTGATTGGGGTTGACTATATATCTACTGTATGATTTACTATCCATCAGTTTCTTTTTGCTGCTGTTTTTTTGCAAATTGTTGATAAATAGGTTATTGTCAATTTTTGTGAGTTTTGGTTCCTCAGTTATATTGATTATATATTATTTATTATAATTAATAGTTGTTTTTTCTCTGAATAAAGGATATGGTTGCATTTTCATGTTGTGAGTATGATGGTGGGGAGGAGGAGAAACGTGAAATGGATATTGCGCGTGAAAGAAGTTGGCGAGGTAAGTTCAGAAGAAGGCATAGGATAATAAAGCCTGGTGCAAATCGTGTGGATGGAAAATGCCCGTTGACTCCATTGGAGGTATGCGGTAAAAAATTATTGTCCTTCGTGTCTTGGGTTTTTTCATTGTTTTCCATTTCTCTTCCCCATATTTATGCTGTTTAATATCATTTGGAAAAAAATATGCAAGTTTTGGAATTTATTTGTTACTTGTGCTTTGATTGCACCATTCTGCTTTTTCCATTCTTCTTAAGTATTCTGTTGATAAATTGGTCCTAGAAATTTGTTTTGAACGTAGTAATTAGATATGAGTGTATTATTTTCCAATTGATTAGTAAATAGCAAGGTTGTCAAAATGAGAATATAGGTAGACTTGTGGAGGCACATAAAATCGGCTCCTAAACTTGTAAGAGTTTACCTAATATAAATAACTAAATTAATTGAAATGCCTATAAATAACATATGCATGAACATAATACGTCTAACACAATAATGATTCAACATTTCATCATTTCTCTCATTCACCAAAATATACTGCCCTAGTCTCTAATAGCTCTCAGACTCATATTTCAGTTCTCCAAATTATTTAAGACACCAAGAGCCTGTTTGGGGTCATTGCAAATTTTTGGTTTTTGGTTTTCAATTGCAATTTAATAAAAAAAACCATGTTCCGAAAAAATGTTGAGTTAATTTTTAACTCAATTTTAAAACACTTTATTTAATTTTCAAAACTAAGAAAAAAGGATTTGTAAATTTAGTTTTTAATTTTTAAAGAACAAGCTTTTACTACATTTAACAATGATTCTTCCCACCGCCATTATCACTATTGGCACGGCCACCATCACCACCGTTGACACTACTACCATCACCACCATTGACACCACTACCACCAGCAATGTCGGCACTATCCACACTACCCTCTCCACCATTATTGCTGCCGACATCACCACCAATAATGTCACAACCAGCATTGCTATCACTAACACTGACATCACCACCAAACGTGCCCTAAATTTTTTTGAAACTTATAACTAAAAAACACCCCCAAACATGCCCTAAATTATTCAGTTCTGTTTGGCATTTCCCAAATATTTTGGTTCACCAAATTATTTTTCATTTAGAGCAAAGCAACTCATCATATTTTGTATATAATATAGTCAGAGATGCAGGTGAGAACATTTAATACCAAAAGTTTAAAAACAGAATATATAAGATGATGTGGGAGCTTGCTGCCTTTCTCAGCTGCTCCTTGTTCAAAATATTTCAGTTCAAATTATTTCTCATAGAACAAAGCAACTCATCATATTTTGTATATAATAGAGTCAGAGATGCGGGTGGGAACATTTAATACCAAAAGTTCAAACACAGATAGATAAGATGATGTGAGAGCTTGCTTCCTTGCTTGGTTGCTCCTAGTTAAATACTCGTGTTGTTTCTGAACAAAATGAGAGATGAGCTTGGCAACTTGCTGCCATCAAGTGCACAAAATAGACACAAGAAAAGAGAAAGTTGTGAGAAAAGGACTGTTCAATCTTCGATAGAGTGATGGGAGACACAAAACAAACCTTGCCGCAACTTCAATGGGTGTTGTGGATGGTTAATGGAGCTCTCACCTTGAGTGGGTGTTGTAGATGGAACTGGTTTTCTGCCCTAACATGAAAATCAGAAGATGAAAAAGTGAAGGAAATCTGCTTTCAGTTGGTGTCCTTAAGTTCTCTATCGTTTCACCTCAGAATGCCCCAAAACAGGTGTTATTTTGAGTGTTTTTTCCCCTTTATGAACTTGTCAACTTGCACATGAAATCGTGATTTGGACTGATCCTAACTGAACTTACACAAGCTCAACCGAGATTACGCTTAAACAATTCTGCAAGTTCGTAAACTCATACAAGTCTATGAGTGTACATACGAGTTTGTTAACTTTGGTAATGGGATCCTCTGAATTTAAATATTCTTTGTTTTTCTTTTCTGAAGAGGTGATTCAGATGCTGGCATCAGTGGGAGCAGTAGTGGTGATAGCAGTAGGACATGAAACAATGAATTGGATGCTAGCATCAGTGGGAGCAGTAGTAGTGATAATAGTAGGACATGAAAGTATATATCCCATGAATTTAAATGGGCATTTGTTTCCCTGTTTATATTCCTTGCTAATTTAGGTTCCTTAGTTTCCAATTTTGAAATTTTAAAAAATGCATAGCAATCCTAGATTCTCATGATAGGGTTACTGGAAAGAGTTGATACAAAAAATTGAGCTTTACAAATATTGAAATGCAAACTTAAAACAGAAAATTACAAGGAAAACACAATCTTGTAAAGAAAAATGTGTCTTGGTTATGATTTTCATGTCTCATTTTGTTTGATGCTGTAGGTGGGAATGATGCTTAGAGGCATGGGTTTTGATAACACAACCTCAGTATATGTTGCAGCAGGAAAGATTTATAAAGAACAAAAGTACATGGCACCACTTAAACAAATGTTTCCACGATTACAAACCAAGAATACACTGGCAACACCAGAAGAGCTTGCTCAATTTATGGTATTTAAGGGATCTATGCTTGTTTAAAACAAGAAAACTAAATTCCATTCATTATAGAAAAAGGTGTTTCAAGGATAAAACAATTTCTGCAATGCACATGTTTATGCTGCAGGGGCATTCGTCTAGGTTGGCTGCTCTTGATTATACCGTTTGCCTTCATAGTGAAGTATTTGTTACAACCCAGGGTGGAAATTTTCCACACTTCTTGATGGGTCACAGGCGCTACATGAATGGTGGGCATGCAAAGACAATTAAACCCGACAAAAGAAGATTGGCTTTATTATTCGATAATCCTAATATAAGGTACAACTTTGGCCCTTTCCTGTTTTATAACTTTTTCTTTTTTGCTGTTGCTTTTTGATCCAAGCAGTAAAATATTTATTTAAAACATGAAGTTTATTTGTGTAGAAGACAATCATCCTAATAAGAGATAATTTACCTCTATATTTGATAATCCTAATATAAGGTACATGTTAGAATAGCTTATTTGGAAGCTTCTGTATTTATTATTATTATTTTCTTTTGCATGTCTGATGTGATGTCTTAGGCTCTTAGCCTTTTCCAGCCTATGTTGTATATTTGTATACTCAATCAGATATATTTTAGAATGAAGCAATTAAGTGTTGTAATATACACTATTTTTCAAAACCATCTTAACATTCAAGTGTACATTTAAAAAAGGAAATACAGAATATTATTTTTTACAATAATTGTATAGAATGTATTTGCATTATATAGACCTATTTTAGTATTTTGGGCTTAGGGTCTAACTGAACTGCACATAACTGTCTTGTAAAGTGAGGATTGTCCGATCTTTATCAGCTCTATTTAAGCCATTTATGTAGTCGATGTTGGGCTAAACACACCCCTTGCAATTATGGCAACCCCCAAAGAGGCTGCAATTAAGTCAGATTATGGTGACTATAATTAAGTCTTGTGTTTAAGATGCTCTTTTTGATAATATTATCTTTTTTCATCACACTTGAATGTGAGTGTACGGTAGTGTACATGGGTGTGTATGATTTATCCCTTTTACGTTAGTTCTTTATTTTTTATTTTAAACTCTATTTTAATAATAGAGTAAACTATTTTTTATCACGCAAATTAAAAATAGACACGCATATTTAAAAATAGATTTGTTGACTTATTTAAAATTAAGTTTATTGGCTAATTTAACGTTGTTAATGTCAAATAGGCTAATAGGTCAGACTCAACTTTTAAAAAGTTTGTCAAGCCTATTAAAAAATCCATGATAGATAATGGACTAAACTTCGACTTTAATTTATAGAATAAGCATGACCTATATATTCAAAGTCTAGCTTGGCCTATTCCCACCCTATCCCTTAGTAAGAACATTAGCCACTTGGAGTCCTGCAAGAACATGACCTATAACAATAAGGCCATTGTCTAACTTCTCTTTGATGAAGAGTCGGTATATCTCATTGTGTTTAGTACGGTCGTGTTAAACTAAATTATGAACAATACAAATGGTTGAAGTGTTGTCATAAAACAACTTCATAGGGATCTCAACTTCAATCCTGGGGTCATCAAGGATAAGCTTCATACATAGTCCTTCACATATACCTAGTGTCATAGCTCAAAATTTAGCTTTTGCACTAAATCGTGCAACCACATTATGTTTCCTATTCCTCCAAGAATATACAATAACCAAAAGTAGGATTTCTGTGTAATTGACCTTGCATAATTTGCATCAGTATACATGTCCATATGCAACATGCCTCCTTTGCTGAATAATAAACCTTTCCCTGGACTTGTCTTCAAATACTGGAGGATCTTGTCAACTATCCACATGCCTTTCTCAAGGGCTATGCATAAATTGACCAATTTCACTGATAGCATAGGCAATGTCTAATCTAGTGTGAGATGGGTAAATTAGTTTCCATACCAATTTATGATATTGAGATTTCTTCACAAGGTGGGTTTCTTAACTTCACATCTTGCAATTTTGATCAATTGTAACCCTTGAGATCCTACATCCCAACTTTCCTATTTCTTTAAGGAGGTCAAGGACATACTTCTTTTGAGAGATAAAAATATCTTTCTTGGAATAAGCAACTTCAACTCCTAGGAGATACTTAAACTTCCCTAGGTCCTTCATCTCAAATTGAGTCAGTTTCTCTTCTTCATCATCACCTGTAATGATCATATCGTCTATATAAACTAAAAGCATTGTATGAGTAAATCTTCTAAACCATGCTCGTGGAGATTGCTCAAGTGCATATAGGGCCTTTTTTAGTTTGCATACTTTGTTCTCTTCACTTGGAGCTCCAAATCCTAGGGAAATATCCATGTAAACTTCTACTAAATCTCCATGTAGGAAAGCATTTTTGACATTAAACTGTTGCAAGTCCCAACCAAATTGGGCTTCCAAGGAAAGGACATCTTATACTGTATTCATCTTTGCCACTAGGGAAAACATTTCAGTTTATAGTATATTCCTTTTTGACCAATCTTGCTTTGTACTTGTCTACCATCCCATCATATTTGTGCTTCATTGTGAATATCCGTTAGCACCCTACAACCTTCTTGTCTTTGGGCCTATCTACAATTTTCCAAGTTGAATTTTTCTCCAATGCCTTCATATAGTTGTCTTGAATTCAATGCTCATCTCTCATAGCATCCTAGACTGAAATCGGTACTCCTATTGCATCAATTGCAGCAATAAAACTTTGATGCTAGATAAAGAGATGGTCAATGCAAACATAGTGAAATAGGACATTTAACAGATGGTCTTTTTCCTTTCCTCAAGGCAATAGTAATATCATAATCATTAGCACTTATCACCTCAATGTTATCTTGAGGAACACTCAATCTATTGTTGGCAAGTTGGGAATTGATGACATCCACTCACCACAACTTGAGGGGGAGTGTCAGAGTCCCTGGAAATATGCTAAAGATAATATTTTCTTGTAATGAATCCTTGGAAATGCTGAAAATAATATTTTCTTGTATAGATTTAATTACATTCCACAATTAGGAGGATAGGCTGAATTTTTTTTTTTGTATTTATTGTACAGGATTGTTGACCCTGAATTATAGGGATAGACTCTGTCTATCATAAATTAGGGTTTCCTTAATTAAATTATTTGTATTCTATTCAAGAGCATTTTTCTGACAAAATCCACCAGATTTGTTACCCTAGAACCAAAAATCCAAAACTTTGGGAAATAGATCTAATGATGTTAAAGGAGCTCTTACCTTTCAGGGTCAAGATACATCATCTAGAGGGCTTACTCATGGAAGGATCTGAAGACAATCAGTTGCTTCCTTATTGAAGGATTGGTTCTGACATGATTGGATCCTTTACAGCACGTGGGGTGAAAATGGGCCTCAAAAATTTAGGGTCTTGGTTGCTAGTGGAAGGTGCACTTGGCTTGACCACTGGTCCCAAAGGCAATGGCAACAACAGGGGTAAGCAAGCAATGGTTTGCTAGAGTGGAGCAACAAAAACAAAACTCCTAAGATCTAGAGCTCTGATACCATGTTGAAGAGAAGTTGGGAGAAAAAAAATTGTAAATTAAATGTATGTTCTTACATTCATTAATCTCCCTTGTATGGGATAACCATTATGCCTAGAAAGGAAATAACAGTAACAGGGGAACAAGTATCACATGATACTCTCATGTGTTTTTGACCTCGTAAAAATATCTTGGATATTTATAGGCTTGTTTCTCATTAAAAAAAAAAAAAACACTTACGACTAGTAAAATCATCAATAAACATAATAGTATCTAGATCCACAAGGAGTAACAATTTAGGAAGGGCCCCGAACATCATAATGAACTAAAGCAAAAGGCAATGAAACTCGTTTATTGACACATTTGGGAAATCAACTATGGGTGTGTTTCCCTAGTTTACACGACTCAAACAAAATTAGGCAAGTTGGAGAAGTTGGGCACCATGTTTTGAAGCTTAGGAAGACCAAAATTACCCAATTGAGCATGTATGATAAGGGGGGGATAGTGGCAGCGCACTTGAGGTGTACTGTAGAGATAGTAAAGGCTATGAGACATACATCCAACACCAATTAATGTTCTGATGTGTTGTATGTTCTTGAAATTGATCGAAATTTCTTGAGTATTGGACAGCTAGTTGAGAAAGGTTATTGTGAAATGGTAAATGGAATAAAGTATTTCCTTGTGTATTGCAAAATGAAAGATATGTTTATATACAAAGTAGTGGGCCTAAGCCCATGTGGTCAGACTATATCTAACCCTCCCCCGCAAGCTGGTGTATATAGATAATATCTAAAAAGATTAATAAAAATATAATAAATAATAGGAAACAGTAATGATTTGGTGAAGACATCTGCCAACTGATTAATGGAGTTAACAAACTGAGTAGTAATGCCCCCAAATAAAATCTTCTCACGAATGAAGTGACAATCTATTTCAATGTGTTTGGTCCGCTCGTGAAATATTGGATTCGAGGCAATATGAAGGGCAGCTTGATTATCACGTATGAGAGTCATCTGTGTAACTTTGCCAAATCTCAATTCATTAAGCAACTGTTTGAGCCAAATAAGCTCACAAGTGGCAGAGGCCATAGCACGGTATTCTGCTTCTACACTAGATCTTACCACTACATTATACTTCTTAATTTTCCAGGAAATTAAGTTATCACCAATAAAGACACAATAACCTGAGTTGGATCTCCTGTTAGAGGGAGAGCCTGCCCAATCTGCATTTGAGTACCCCACAACTTGAGTATGATTGTTGTAGCCCTATAATAAACCTTTTCCTGGAGCACCTTTGATATATTTTAGAATGCGGATGACTGCATTCCAATGTCCTACACATGGAGAATTGAGAAATTGACTCACCGCACTAAACTGCAAAGGAGATGTCAGGACGAGTTACCGTGAGATAATTCAATTTCCCAACCAATCTTCTGTACCTCTCAGGATTTGAGAAAGGCTCCCCCTAACTTGGTAGAAGTTTAGCATTGGGATCCATAGGTGTATCAATGGGCTTGGAACTCATTAGGCCAATTTCCTCTAAAATATCCAATTCATACTTCCATCACCAAACTAGCAGGAGCAGAAGTGCGTAGGTGATAAAGGCCATGGGACTCACATCCGGTGCCAATCATCCGTCCTAAACCTAAACTCCGGTCCTGTAAGAAAACAGAATCTTTAGTAAAGGAGATAAGATAATCAAGAGAGCGAGTAAGACGACTAAGTAACAATAAATTAAAGGGAGACTCTGGGACATAAAGAACATTGTCAATGGAGCGAGAAGGAGAAATATGGACAGTACCAACACCATGAGAGGTGGCGCGAGACCATTAGCCATAGTGATAGAGGGTAAATAACTAGAAGCAGAAAGAGAGGAGAAAAGAGACCAATTACCAGAAATATGATCGGTAGCACTAGAATCTAGGACCCAAGGGGCAAGAGAAGTGGAGTGAGTGAGACCAACAAACGAAGGACCTGTGTGCGCAATAGAGGCAGTGGAATTGGAAGCCTGACGTACCTCATACCATTTAAGGAAGTCATGGAAGAGAGTTGGAGGTCCAAATCCAGACCCATCAGAGGGGGTAGCACCAGCTGCAGTAGAGACAGGGGAGGTAGTGTGGGAAACAAAAGTAGCAGGGTGAGCGGGACGACCATGTAAGACGTGACATCAGCCAATAGTGTGACCAAGTTTGTGATAGTGATCACACTTGGGACAACCTTTGCCCGGTTTGCGAGAACGCTAACGATCATCACACTGAGAAACCAAAGCAGAGAAGTCACTAGTGGGAGCAGAAGAAGGTATGTTAGGGGAAGACTTGCAAGGCACACGCAACAGGGTGGACCAAGCCGAGTTCAAGGTAGGCACAGTCGAAGATCCCAGAATCTGATCACGAACGGAAGAGTACTCATCAGGAATCCCATACAATGCCATCAACATAAAGAAAGTTTGGCGTTGCTCTAGTTCCTTGACAAGAGTGGCAGCGGGAGGCAAAAGTTCATTGAAGTCATGAAGAAGGCCATGAACATTGCCCAAATACTCGGCCATGGAACCCTCAAGGCGTGGTGGAGAAATGATACTCTGGAGATTTTGACACACACCATAGAGACGTTGAGTATCATTGGTGTACAATAATTGTGCTTGTTCCCATACATCAATACAGGTCTCATGAGCACGAAAAATTTGCTTGAGGGAGGGATGAATGGCCAACTTAAGGACACTACAAATTTGAGCATCAATTTTCGACTAACGAGGACGATCTTTCTCATCAACGGAAGCAGTTGTCTGGGTAAGGTGAGCAACATAATCATGTCCCTTAAGCCAAAGCTTGATATCAGAAGCCCAAGTGTCATAATTGATTCCATCTAACTTGTTAATGGAAAGTGGGACATTGACATAGTTAGTAAAAATAAAGGAGTCAAGCCGGACAGCAGTAGGAGAAGCCATATATGCTGGAAGAGGAGAGAGAAACAACCACGGGAGAGAGAAAATAGCTTGAGAAGGAAGGGACCCATGACAAACCAAGTCCGATCAAGAAACAAATAGCAGATCGGGGTAGAGGATGTCGGGGCGAGTCTGGCGCCGGTGATTGCTGCCGGAAAAGTGGCTTGATGCGCCGCCATGCGCATCGGCTGATGGAGAGGAGAGAGAAAAAAACGTGCGAGCACGGGATCGACGCGTCTGGGCGCGTGCAACCTCTGTTTGTCACGCGACTGGTGGCGTTGGGTTCGCCGGAGGAAGGCGAGCCGGGAGGGTGGGTCGCTGGCCAAAAAGCTAACGGAGGCAGCAGTGGACGGCAACAACAGTGAAGAAAAACGTCAAAAAATAGAGAAACAACGGCCATAAAGAGATGTAGCGAGGTAGGTTGCCAAAAAATGGAATGAGACACGTTTCTGGGCACCGATGAATAGTGGGTCCACCGAGAGGTCAAGGATTAGGCTTTAGATATCATGTTGAGTGAAATGGTAAATGGAATAAAGCATTTCCTTGTGTATTGCAAAATGAAAGATATGTTTATATACAAAGTAGTGGGCCTAAGCCCATGTGGTCAGACTATATCTAACAGTTATGAATTATTTTTCGAAAACAAAAGTTGTTTGATCAAAGATGAAACTTACAAATATATTGTCAAAGTAAAAAATGAGAGGGAAAAGTTTTGTTTTAAATCTATTGGAGGAGGAGGAGGAGCGAATTGCTTTTCCAATAAAAGAGAATATCACTGAATTATGGAACAAGAGGCAAGATATTAAGGAAGGACAAGCTAGTTTTGAAATAATAGCCCCAAGTCCTAGAGTGGTGATGTTGAAGCAAAATTGGCAACAACAAAGGAGCAAGCTCAGTTGACTAAAGAGGAAGAGATGACTAGAAGCAAACATGTGATATCTCCATCAAAGAAGGAAACTCTGCTTTAGAGAAAGTAACTATTATGCAAGAGTGCACAAACAAGCAGGTGCAGATAAGGGAAAATGCTTTTAAAAAAAAAAAGGTTAAAAACTTAATTTGGTCTCTTATAATATTTGTTTGTTTCAATTTAGTCCCACTTTAATTTTTGATTTCAATTTGGTCCTTAATAATTAAAATTATTGCAATGTCGGACTTCCGTCCAAATTATTTAAACGGAGTTAACCATTGGTCAGGTAGATGTCAGGTAGATGCCACGTAGATGCATAGGTGGATGCCAAATTTCATGAATATACCTGAAACCAAAATGGTCCGTTTTGGTTGCACATGTTATGTGTTAATTTTGTATCTAGAACGGGCCGTTCCAAATGCAAATTTAACACACCATGAGTGTAGCAGAACGACCCGTTCTGACACCAGAACGGGCTGTTTTGGATTCAGAACGGCCCATTCCAAAATGTCAACCACATACGTACATTCAACCAAATATCGCAATGTGATTCAAAAATTGAAAATAAAAATTCATAACATATCATAAATTCAAAGACAGAAACATAGTTCAGAAACTGAAAACAAAAATTCAGAACATAACATATACTAAAAAAGTTTAAAGAAATTACTGAGAAGGGAAATCATCTGGGTAACGCCGAAGGGAAACCCTAAACCACAAAAATTCAAGTTGTACCTCCTCAAGAACAGGTTGTTATTATTGGAGTACATCGTCAATGACTTTAAGGGAAATATCGTTTCGTTTCATCCTTGACTGTATAGTGTAATATGGTAGTAAGTGGTTCACTCCAGTTTGACTAACAATGAAATAAAACCTGCTACCATTGTTCTTAGTGATACACTGCATTGTTCTTAATGATACACTGTATTAGCCCAAATGTTTAGCAATTGAAGTTATCAATCTCCATTGACAATATTACCAAATCCAGTGTTTGAAATGCTTTGTACCTTGGGTCTTTTTCCTTGCACGATTCACAACCATGAACTGTAATCATCGATTGGCTGTGTTTGGCATTCTGGAACAAGAACGACCTGTTCTGAAACTAGAACGGCCCATTCTGGTTACAGTATTGGTGTGTTAATTTTGCATCTGGAATGGCCCGTTCCAGGTGCAAAATTAACACACCAAGAGTACAACCAGAACGAGCTGTTCTGGTTTCAGAACGGGACGTTCTGGTTCCAGGTGTATTCAAGAAATTTGGCATTCACCTATGCATCTACGTAACATTCACGTGGCCAACAGTTAATTTTGTTTAAATAATTTGGACGGAAGCCTGACATTGCACTAATTTAAATTATTAGGGACCAAATTGAAACAAAAAATTAGAGTGGGATTAAATTGAAACAAACAAATATTATAAGGAACCAAATTAGTATTTTAACCAACAAAAAAAAAATTCTAAAACTTAGCTCAAAAAGAGGATGAAATACTGGAGAAAAGTGCAAAAATTGAGCATGGTAAGAGATGTTTGAAAATTCTTTAAATAATGAAGGCTACTAAATCAAAGATATGGAGTTGTGATACAAAAATATTGTCAATGAGATTTGAAATTAAAGAGTTGACTAAAACATTGAAAACTGAAAGTTCTAAGACCCAATCATGTGAGAGGGAAGCAATATTATTTTAGCAAGAGAAGAGCCTTCTACAATAGAAGAGTGAAGTGCTAATGATTTCACCAAGTCATTCTAAATTAGCAGGTTAAATTTTGAAGGATGAAGATAGAAGTTTGTAGCCTCCAAGGCAAAGAGGAGTGTTGGAAATGTGCCTTTAGATACCGTCAAAGTAGTTTTAATTTTTAGTTTGAATAAGTCAACTAGTTATTTTATAAAAATATGTTTTTGTGTTGTTAGTGAATCAATTAGTTTCAAATTTTATTCTTTAATTATTATCAAAAACTCCTAAAATCATGGAGTATGATTTTTATTCAGTTATTTTAATCTATTTAAATATAAGTCATATTCAATAAAACAAGGTATGTTTTGCATTGAAAAACAGAGTTACATTGTTTTCTTGTTTTGTTGTTTTTCTCTATCCTAAGATTAAAACCAACAAAAACACTAATGAAAGCTGAACCACATTATCGTTAATGGGATGAACAGGAGTTCAGTCTTTTATATTTGCCTGCTTTCTAACTGATAATCTCAATTCCCAAATAGACGCGTAAATGTTCTTAATCATTTATCAAGTATTTTCACGTCCAAAACGTTGACGTTCTTATTCTACACAGCATCCAATCATCGATCAGATTCTTATCCTATAATTCGATGCCTTGATAGTTTCTGTACTCATTATAAAGGTTACCACTGGATTTTCTTTTATATTTTTTTACTGATTTTGCAGATGGGAAGTATTCAAGCAACAAATGAAAGACATGCTTCGTCATAGTGATCAAAAGGGAACTGAGTTAAAAAAGGCTGGTGGGTCTCTATATAATTTTCCTATGCCCGATTGCATGTGTAAACACGCAAAACCCAGAAGTGAAAACCGTAATACGACGAAATATATGAAGCTATAAATGTAGAGGAGTATCGTCTTTAGGAAATCAAATTGTAAAATACGTGTAATTTTTTTTTCTATCATTACCTTATTATTCTTTTTTTTTTTTTATCTTGTGAAAATTAGCTGTGAAATCATAATTAATGTATATTGTACATGGGATTCATTGTACATGAAATTCATTGTCAGATGAGATAGACGTGCACCTGATTATCAGGATTCACTTTTGGACGACCGGTGACTCGGTGAGCTTTGTTTGACAATTTAATTTACTAAACCGAGCTGTCTATTTGGCAAGTGATAAATAATATCGTCAATTGATTGCAAATCTATAGCCCAGAAGGCTCATTGCCATGTGATGTGCAAAAATAGTTTAAAAAAATATTACTATATATGTTTGTTTTGTATAATAGACACTTTGAAGAAACCTTTATGTGTTTGTGACAAGCACAGCTGGTATGCATTTTACTTTGCAGTTGTTATACAGTACTTGATATAACCCGCACATTGTGTGTCAAATTTATAGAAATTCTGGAATTATATATTATATAGAAAGTTATTTATTGATATTTTATTGAAATATGAGTAATAAATAAATGAAATGTAGAATGGTAAATTTATAATTGATATTCATTATTATACTTGCATAAAATAATATTTATGCTGTTATTTGATGTGAGATCTTAATATTTTTAAGGTTAAATTGTATTTTGATCTCTATTTTCTTCAATTCATAATTTTGTTTTCTTTATTTTGAAATGAGGACATTTAGTCTTTCTATTTTTTAAAATACAAAACCTTTAAAATCAATTCAGGAAATAAAAGATTAAATACATCATATTACTCTCAAAATATGAGGTTCAACTCTTTCTTAATCTCTAACAATTTTTGTATTTTTATGATTAAGTTTAGAGTTGTCAAATATTGGTCGGTCTGGCAGGTTGATCCATTTACTTGGTAGGCCAAACTCTTTATTTTTATGTCAAAAATAACTAAATCAATTTAGTCCATCTTAACAAGCACAAAATGGTCCAATTTAGCTCACTCTAACGAGCCAATGGATTAGGCTGACATGTTTTTCACGCTTAGAGTAATAGGCTCGATCCAACCCGTTGACAACTCAAAGTTCCACTGTCGTCGTGAAGGCTTGGACAATCTACACCATCAATATTCCTCTTTCTCCATTTATGAGTGCATGAAGTAAACTTTGTCCATAAATTTGAAGGTAATATTGCAGGATTGAGCATCGTTCTAGATGCACCAGTATCAATGAATGCAATGACTTTGATAGGCACATGATATTTTGTTGGTAAGATGAATGCTTCAACATTTGGTAGTAATGGAATTTCTTTTTCCTTTTGAAAACATACCTCTTCTGTTTTTAATATGGGAAAATGATTGCACTCATCATCAGTGTAGTCAGATTGTTCTGAGGAGCCATCAGTATCTCCTTCTGAGTGTGTGATATCAAAGACAGTTGATTCATCTGGACTTTCCTGTTCATCGAACAGAGATTCCACATCTTCATCTTCCAGTTTGAGTGTGCTTATAAGCTTTGTGGCCTTTTTCTTGTTAGGACAATTTTTTGAGAAATGTCCTTTTTGCCCACAGATGAAACATCTACTGTTAGATCCTTTTCCTCGGGTTGTTCATCAATCATCTTTTTGAACATTCTCTACTGGTTGCAGATTTTGTCCAAAGCAGCAATACTAGTCTGATAAATTTCTCCCATAATCATCTGGAGAACATCTTTATTTGATTGTTGTATATATATATATACATATATATTAATTGAGAAATAGTTGTATTATAAGGAATTCATCAAATATGTATATAAGATATTTACAAAAAAAATTTGTTTATTTTTATAAATATTTTAAACCATCAATTATATTTTGAATACATTCAAATATGTAAATAAGAAAATGATATATTAGATTTGTACTTGCTGGAAAATGGTTACATTGACATAGTCCTCTAAAAATGTTATTCATTTCTCTCCTGCTTAATCCAAAATGTTATTAGTGAGAGTACCTACAAAAAACAATACTCTAGTTATGTGTAGTAGGTCAATGTGTATTGAAGATATATGAAAGGAACTTAATGTATAGTCTAAGGATCATTTAAAAGAATATGTGGAAGAGAAAGTGAAAGGAATTACTTCTTGTATTGATATGTACACATATGCACAGATACAATTTTTATATATAGAAGAGCTTAGACTCCTAACAAAACAACCAATCCTAACAAAAGTCAAATAACAGAAATATCAAATAATAAAACAACAAACTACTAACTACTTTATTCCTATATTTCCTTTTTCAACTTTTTCCAATACCCTGCAAGCTGGAGAGTATATATTCAGAACTCCCAACTTGGAAAGAAGATAGTTAAAAGGATGTTGGTCAATTGTTCAGTGGAGCGAATGGGTAGTAAATGAAACAATTTTGCTTGAAGCTTTTCTCGAACTATGTGACAGTTAAGCTCGATGTGATTGGTGTGCTCATGGAAAAACGAGTTAGTAGCAATACAAGAGAGCAGGGGAAGTGAAAGAAATTACAAAGTCATGGAGAAGATAAGTAAGCCATTGAATCTCACAAACTGTGTTGGCTAAAGCACGATATTAAGCTTCGGATGAAGACCTAGAGATGGTGGAATGCTTCTTGCATTTCCATGAAATTAGTGAATCTCCAAGGAAAATGCAGTAACCAGAAACAGAACGGCGAGAAGTTGGGCAAGAACCCCAATTTGAGTCACTAAAAGCTTTCAGTTGTAATGAAGACTGCATAGGGTAGAAGAGACCTTGACCAGAATTTCCTTTGAGATAGTGAAGAACACGTGTAACTGCCATGTAATGAGTAGTGGAAGGAGAAGAAATGTGTTGACTTAATTGTTGCACAGCAAATGAAATATCTGGTCTAGTTGTTGTGAGATATAAAAGCTTGCCAACAAGCCTTCTGTAACTAGCAGGATCAGCATAAGGAGTACCATCTGATTGTGAAAGTTTGTTGGTTTTCACCATAGGAGTTGGAGAGGGCTTAGCTGCAAGAAAACGAATATCAGAAAGTAAATCTAATACATACTTTCGTTGAGAAAGATGAATGCCGAGGTGTGATCGGACCACTTCTAAACCAAGAAAGTACTTGAGGTGACCAAGGTCTTTGATCTTAAATTGAGTATCTAAAATATCTTTTATGGAGGTAATTTCAGATGAATCAGTACCACCAATGATTAAATCATCAACATAAACAAGAATCACAGTAAAATGATTATTAATATGCTTAGTAAAAAGAGAGTGATCATTAGGAGATTGTTTGTAATTCATGGTTTGAAAAAAATTAGATAATTTGGCAAACCATTGCCTGCTAGCTTGCTTTAAACCATACAAGGATTCGTGTAATTTGCATACAAGATTAGGCTTGGGACAAGATAAGTCTTGTGGGATTTGCATATATACTTCTTCATTTAAATCCCCATGAAAGAAGGCATTATTAATATCAAGTTGATGATATTGGAGAAAGTTGAAAAAGGAAATATAGGAATAGAGTAGTTAGTAGTTTGTTGTTCTATTATTTGATATTTCTGTTATTTGGCTTTTGTTAGGATTGGTTATTTTGTTAAGAGTCTAAGCTCTTCTATATATACAAATTGTATATGTGCATATGCATACATATCAATACAAGAAGTAATTCCTGTCACTTTCTCTTCCACATATTTTTTTTATGGTATCAGAGCTCTCCCTATGAGAGCTCTGCCACCTATTTTCTCGTTCACTTCTCTGACCACCATGGCTGAAGAAGAAATAATTCAAGATAAACCAACCAAAAACCAGAATGGAGGCACCAACAATAACGCTGATCCATCCTCAAATCCCTATTACCTCTACCCAGGAGAGAATCCAGGTGCTATTATTACCACTCCAAGTCTCAATGGGACAAATTACCACACATGGTACAGAAACATGAAGAGGGCTCTTCAATCAAAGAATAAATTCAAGTTTGTAGATGGAAGTATCCAGAACCCAGGACCTTCACATCATCTTTATGATTCTTGGGTCAAATGTAATATTATGTTTTTGGGTGGATTACAAGAACCTTATTACAAGAAATAGCTCAAAGCATAGTCTATTTTGAGAATGTGCAAGATTTATGGGAAGATCTCAAGGACAGATTTTCCAAGTGTGATTATTTTAGAATCTCTGACCTTCTTCAAGAAATCCATTCCATTAAGCAAGGTGATAGATCTGTGTCCGCATACCACACTGAATTGAAGACTCTATGGGAGGAATTGGAAGCCCTTAGAAAAACACCTTCTTGCACATGCAATGTTAAATGCAGTTGCAAATTTGCCAACACTGCAAAAAGGAATAAAGAAGTTGAATATGTTATTTGCTTTCTCAAAGGTCTTGATGACCAGTACAACACAGTAAGGAGTCAGATTTTAATGATGGAACCCCTTCCTTCTATAAGTAAGGCCTTTTCTCATGCTCTCCAACAAGAAAGGCAATTAAGCAATCCAACCACCCAAGAATCAAGAGTTCTTGCAGCCACCAGTGATACTGCTAACAATTGGAAAGGAAATTTTGCTAAAAGAGGTGGAGGATTTGCTGGCAGAGGTAGAGGTAAATCCTTTGGTCGAGGTAACACATCCAATTCTAACAAGGTTTGCACCTTTTGTAGTAAAGAAAATCACACTATAGACACTTGTTATTTTAAGCATGGTTTTCCACCAAATTTTAAGTTCAAGAATAAAAACATGCAATCTGTTATTAATAATTTCGGTACAAGCAAGACACCTGAAATGCAAAATGTGAGTTCTAATAATGATTACAAAGATCCACATGTTAGTATGAGCGAAGAGCAGTTCAATGTACTTTTTGATATGATCAAGAGAGTCAATCTACAACCTCACAGGCCTACTGTTAACCAACTGACTCATAAAGATAATAATGAAACAGTTCTTCAATTTACTCATCAACAGCAACACAACACAGGTAATCCTCTCCTACCCAATATTTGGATTCTGGACACTAGGGCAACTGAACATGTATACAGCTCTTTGAGTTATTTTAGTAAATATCAATTTTTATATATAGAAGAGCTTAGACTCCTAACAAAACAACCAATCCTAACAAAAGTCAAATAACATAAATATCAAAAAATAGAACAACAAACTACTAACTACTCAAGTTCTATATTTCCTTTTTCAACTTTCTCCAATATCATTGTCATCCATTTATTGATGTTTTAATAGTGTTTTTTTAGTTTTTTAATAACAATGATGAGCAGCAACAATTACATATTGCTCTTTGTCAATTACACGTTGCTCTCTGTCGATGTCGGATAGTTATCGGAATAGGTTCATGCATAGTATATGATTGAGTGACTTGGTACACTACTCGACCTTTTCTGTGGTAAGTATCTTACAACTGTAACTTCGTCCCTCTGTCAGGTGTCCGAGTCCTATCTGTTACTCAACTGCGACGTTTTGAAATTTTCATGAAAAGACCTTTAAGATGGTGAGGTTACTCAGCTAATTGCATAGATGGCAGGATATCTAAATCACTTGGTCTTTAAAAGAAACTATCAATTATAAATAGGTTAAAATTCTAATTCTGCAATTTTAATTTTTCTATATTAAAATAAAAATATTTAGTCTCTTTAATTTTAAAAATATGAAAATTTGGTCTTTTCAAAAAATTGACATCTATTAATTATTAAATTTTAATATTTATTTATACTTATCTGATGTGACATTAATAATAATATTTTAAAATAAAAATTATAAAAAAATCATACAATTAAAATGTATAAATAAAATAAATAATAATCACTCATTAAAATATGTATAAATAAAAAAATTTATATGTTATTTTTAATTTTTATATAAATATCGCGTTGTTTCAGTGGTGATAGACTAATAGGTTACTAAATAACGTAAAAATTTAACGATCAACAAATATCAAATTAACAGTAGAATAAAAATTTTGAATTTTAAAAAAATAAAAGGACTAAATATCTCTATTTTAAAATAGGAGAATCAAAATTGCATATCAACAAAAGTAGAGATCATGAGTGCAATTTAAAAGTAGGCTAAATTACACTTTTGATACCTTTATTTTAACTCGTAATTTTGGTCATTTATTTTAAAATAAAGATATTTAGTCTCTCTAATTTTAAAAATACAGAAATTTGATTTTTCCATCAAATTAATATTTATTCATACTTAAGTGATATGACATTTAATAATATAATATTCAAAGATAAAAAAAATATATAATAAAAATATACAAATAAGATTTATTAATAAAATAAATAATAATCCTTTGTTAAAAAATATATAAATAATATTTTTTTATATGTTATTTTTAATATTTATCTCTACATGTTACATTAATAAGTATCACGTTATTTAAGTGGTGATAGACTGACACATTATCAAACAACGTAAAAAATTTAATGACCAACAAATATTAATTTAATGGTAGGACCAAAATTTTATACTTTAAAAACTAGAAGGATTAAATGTTCCTATTTTAAAATAGAGAGACCAAAATTGCGGATAAAAAAAATAAAGGGACCGACAATGCAATTTAAAAGTAGACTAAATTATACTTTTAGTACCTCTATTTTTATCAACTCACAATTTCAGTCTTTTATTTTAAAATAAATATATTTAGTCTCTCTTATTTTAAAAATGCAAAAATGCAATTTTTTTCATCAAATTGACATTATTGTTAAATTTTAACATTTATTCATACTTAAATAATGTGACATTTAATAATATGATATTTAGAAATAAAAACTAAAAAAGTACAAATAAGATTTATTAATAAAAATAAATAATAATCATTCATTAAAATATTACCAAAAAAAATTATGTCATTTTTAATTTTCAGCTCTATATTTTATGTTAATAAATATTACATTACTTCAACAAACTGAGAAGTCACTAAATAACATAAACATTCTTTATATTAAAAAAAATAGAAAGACTAAATTTCTCTATTAAAAAAAAAAAAAAGAGGTCAAAATTGTGAATCAACAAAAATAGAGGGATCAACAGTAGAATTTAAAAGTAGGCTAAATTGCACTTTTAGTACTTTTATTTTCATCAATTCACAGTTTTGGTTTTTGTATTTTAAAATAAAGACATTTAGTTTTTCTAATTTTAAAAATGTGAAAATTGGGTTTTTCTATCAAATTGACGCTAATAAAATTTAAGTTTTAAAATTTATTCATACTTAATTAAGTGATGTAACATTTAATAAAATGATATTTAAAAATAAAATTATAAAAAAAATCATACAAATAAAATTTATTAATAAAATAATAATAATAATCATTCATTAAAATACAAATATAAAAAATTTATATATTATTTTTAGTTTTTATTTCTATGTTACGATAATAAATGTCATATTACTTTGACAAACTAATATGTTACTAAAATTTAACAACCAGCAAATATTAAATTAATTATAAAATCAATTTTTTATATTTTAAAAAATAAAATAATTAAAAAAATTTAAATAAAGAGAGCAAAATTACGTATCAACCAAAATAGAACGACCAAGAATGTTATTTAGCCTACTAATTGTATAGAACTTTTTTTCTGAAAAAACAGCTGAAAGTGGACCCAAACATACACTTTTGTACAATTATTTAGTGATAGTAAACTGATTATAATTTACTCCCAAGTTGAGAAGCTCCGAATACTAATTTTTTAGTGATTAATCAAGGATATCAGTCATGAAACTGAGTAAAAAAACAGTCATGAAACGAAACATTGAATGCTTAATTTTAGAAATGGACTTGATGCCAAGTGTGATAATGTAATCAAGCTAGAGAACAATTAATGAAAAGCATGGAATGTCAAGATTTGATGACCTAGCTCAAAAGTATCATAGAACCAGTGGCAGTTCATAATGGTCAAAGATTCTGCTTTAAGGTCTGCTTGTTTAAAAAAAGTGTTTCTAAATAAGTATTTAAAAAATAAAAGGTTGTTTTTTAAAAAAAAAAAAAGTATAAAAAACTCTTTTAAAAAAATAGATAAACATATAAAAAGTAAAAATAAAATAAATAAAAAGTTTATTTTGTTTAAAAAGAAAAACACTTTAAACAAACGGATCCAAAGAAAAGAGAACGAAAACGCTAACGTGAAAGTGCTATATCCGATGTTTCACGGTAATCTATAACCCAACCCCTTCCACAAAACCTATGTTCCTATACTTAAACGTACCTTTGTTCTTGAAAGAACTAGGGCATGGGAGAACAGATGCTAATACAAACATAAGAAGTGGGCAAAATTATATGCTCAAGAGAAAGATACATGATACATACCATCTTTCTAATAACAAACTAAACCAAGTATCGTGTCAGCAAAGCGTGGCAACATAAATGCCACCCACTATTTTACATCAGTCAAGGTCCGGAGTCAATCTTTACATGCAAGAAAAACGTCAACAAGGGGACATTAGTAGTATATCTTATCTTGCCCAGAATCACAGCCACTAGCCAGACATGAAAGACATTGCTCGTCTGAAGTCCAGAGGTTTGAGAGCTTGCTGGGGAAAAGGCTTTCCATCTGGTAGCCACAGGCCACCCTCATGAGGTAGCACCACTTGTGGCTGGCCTTGGCTATTTCTCTCGCTTTCAGCAGCTTCCTTTGATGGAACCTCTTTCTTTTTCTTCACAAATTCAAAAAACTCAGCAACTTGACGTGCATATCTGCACCACAGGCAAAACACACAATTTCGAAGCATTAGGAATCAATACCTTTTTTAGAAGCTTTCTTGGCCAACTTCTCCAAAAAGCTAATGTCCACAAGTTTATTTTAACCTATGAGGGAAATTTGATTCATTTTACCTCTTCATTTCGTCTCTTATAAATGTTTATGGATAAGTATATCCAAATAGGCCTTATTGAACAAGCGCTAAATTGAGTTGTTTACCCAAATGCACCTCATGCCCAATGTTTTAGAAGCGTTCTTGTGGGATTTGAAGCAATTGATAACATAGTAAAGTTAATTTGTTTTAGTTTGGATACAAATTCATGTTGTCCTGTTGTGTAATGGCGGCTCTCTGTAACTGTAATATTTAGCTATACTTTGAAGTACTAGCACATTTGATTTCATGTTACAAAAAACATATCCTTGCAAAACTATGGCACCAATTAGGATCACACCAATGTACTCCAAGATTCCGTTCAGCCTATGCTAATCACTCATATATCACCTGGATGTAATATGGGGTTGTGGCCATCAGGAGAAGGCTTGAAGATTATGCCTAACATTGAAAAAAGGGCCCAGAAAGTGAGAGAAGATGCATGCCAAATAGCCATTCGTCATTCACTAAAGAATAAAATGACCTTAGCAAGAAGGAAAGGATCCACTTAGACAACACAATATATATAATCCTAGTTGTAAGTTACAGGACAAATATTTATTGATGCACCACTCCGCATATATTAAGGATGAAACAGTCTAACAATACACATGATTCCCAAGTAACAAATATATTTTAGTCATTCATAAAAATCATAATTTTCAAGATTTATGATTCCGGTCTTAAACCTTTAACTTTCCCTTGATGTCTCTAATTCAATGGCAGTGGAACTAAATGCCCCACCCCTTCTATTCTCCATGAAACACATCAAACAGACCTTTTTATTGTGTGAAATTAATTTTTTATTATAGTTTTAACTAATAACAAAACAAGAAAAACAAGTCTCATGGTTTGATGAAAATAGTATCAGGTGAGTATTAATTTAACTTCTAAAATTACAAAACACTAATGCGGCTGCCATTTATACCAACAGTACAGGTCAGTTACCAGTGTAGTGTGATGACACAAACCTTGGGTAAACCACGCCACAAAAGTTAGCCATAGAGCACATATTTCCAATATGGAGCTCTGGTCTCATACCTTGCAAATAAAACCCAACATTCCACCTCCCTCTGCAGCGGAAACAGGCAGCCTGTGCACTAGTCTAGTTCCAGGTAAAGACTGCTATGCCAGCATCACAACCCATGACACTCATTTGCAACTGAGAGACATGGTGGAAAGCTCTAACACCAATTGATATGAACTTTCGGAAAACCACATTACAAAAACTAACCATTATGGAGAGAAAGCTCAAGTCCATATGAACCCCACATCAGAATCCCATACTTGAGATGTAGGATTCAAGTCCCATACCTTGCAACCGGGACCTAGCATACTTATATATGCCCGGATCAACAAAAATCTTAACATAATACTCCTTAGAATAATAAGAGTCATAGTATTCTAACATAGGCAAAAAAACAGCCAACAGAACAAAAGTTTAGTCCAGGGTAAGGAAATTTAAACAAATATCTGAGAAAGAGATAGTTATCTTACTGCCTCTTTGCTTCAATATCTTTGCTGAAATCAATATTGGGTTCACAGTCCAGAACCAATGCAGGAACCTGTTTAAAGTTAAAATTGTTTAGCCGGTCACTCATAACAACTAACAAGTAATAAATTTGGACATGGGATTTCAATTATTGTACCTTCTGAATGCTAGAGTGCATGTGACCACCCTCTAGATAAAAAACACGGTCTCTTATATCAGGGTGTAAAGAGTTGTCAATACGTTGTGGCAGCTGATTGACTGATAATACTCCATGATTACCACTTTGGGAGGGAAATAACCAGCTCTCATGCTTTTCATGGAGATCACGAAGATAGTCTAGGCTGACTCCACCTTCTTCTGCTCTCTTCCTTAACAACATTCTCTTATGGCAAGTATCAGGACTTGCCCTAAGATAGATAAAACCATCAGGAATAAGTCCAGGCAAAGAAGACACCACAGGATCAAACCACGAGTCATAAATACTGATCTCCATCTCATTCATCCAATTGGCTTCATGAACAGCCCGTACAAAAACCTTAATTGAACAGTGAGATAAAAAAACATAAGCCTTTAAACTATCAAAACAAGGATTCCCTATCTCTCAAATCAAACAGAGAAAGGAAGGAAATGCACAGTTTCAAATCCATCAGTTGCAAGCTTTTGTAACAGACATTCAAAGAAGTATTGATGTGCGAAGAAATTTAACCAAAGAGGCTTTAGAGAAGAAAATCAAGAATACCAAATGGGCAATCACTCACCATCCTGTCACTGAAAACACTCCTCTCCATCAAACGAAGAGGCTTGATTCCACCAGATGACTCTCTTTCCTGCATCACCCTTGTAACAAATACATAGTTCTGAAAGGTGTAGGCATACCTTTGCGGCTCGGCATAAAAAGCATCCAAAATATTGAAGTGATCAGGTCCAACGTCCTGCCACTTGCTAATAGGCTCAGGAACCACCTCAACAAGATCACGCAACTCGATTGTTTCATTTGCAATCCTCTGAAGGAAGGTAGTCTTACCAACACTGATGTTACCCTCGACACAGAATGTCAGGCGCTTCTTTTGCTGTGTCTGTGCAGATGAATTGTCTTCCAACTCCTCATCAACACTCTTTTTAATGAAAGTAGTTATACTTTCAGCATGGTTCTTGTGAATTATACCAACAGAACACTGTAGATACTCAACCATCTTGTCACTAGATTTGCCAAAGAACTGCAGAAGATGGCCCAAAGAGAACCAAAAGAATTGCCAAAAGTTCAGTGAGATCCAATAAAAATCCTTTTTTTCCTTTCTTAATAGCCAAAATTTAATATTATAAGTACTCGGGGGCAGTTATTCAATCACTAAAACGGAAAGGGTGGACAAAGTTACCAGCAGAACAGTGTTTGTCAGACATGCCTTGGACATGTGTCCAACCGACAACTCTTTGACACAACTTGGACAACTTTCTAACATGAGCCAAGAATGTGAGTAAACACTGGTTCTTAGCTGAACAATTATTTAAAATTCCTATTATTAAAAACATAAAAAGTCAACTTATTTATAAATATAGCAAGACACATCACATTTTTTTTTTATTATTTATGAGACTCATTTTCGTTAGAATTACTATACTTAAACTTTTAAAAGATATGATTCATCTTCCAAACGTCATTATTATATAAAAATTATAAAGCTGGAGAACTATGAAAGTGAATACATATAAATCTTAAGTATCAATTAGATTTTTGTCATGTTAATTATATAAATATATATAGACACACAAATGCAGGTGAGGAAAAAGCCCTAAACGGAAGACACAAAAACGATAGATATAGACATGTTTGGATAGAAGGTACAGAGGCTTTTTATGATTTTTGGGTGGATAAGCAATCAAAATTACCTGTAAACTTGTATTGAAATAGTCCTAATAAAGAAGGAAAGTGTTGAGAGAGACCTTATCCTTGTAGAGCTGCTTGAGTTGAGCAACACCAGCGATGCCTTTCTGAACGAGCTTTCTGAAATTCCTGGGACCTACGCCGGGAATGGCCAACAAATCAGGGTTTGACGGTGCGGGAGAGGAAGAAGTCTTATGCCTCCTATTTAGCCTGAAATTAAAGGACCTTTTGTCCTTTGCGTCGGCAGAAGCATCCTCAGGGGTGAGAAAGGTGGCGTCAGAAGCCGAGCGCAAGGAGCGGTTAAGGAGAAGAGTGGTGGCCCTAGTCCTGGCGTGGGTTAGAGACCTGCAGGCACAGGAAGCGTTGGAGGAAAGCGACAAATAGCGAGAAGAGAGTGCGAAAGGCTTGTTCTCGGTGGAGAGGGAAGGAACGAGGGAAGAAGAAGCAGCAGCAGCTGCTGACATTGTTACGAGTTTTGGCGAAGAGAGAAAGGGGGTGGCGACTGAGAGGAAAGGGACCGAAGAGGATGGGCGTAGCAGCTTCTGCATTTCACTCACTCACTCACTGCTTGCTTGTGCTGTGTCCCTCATAGTGAGGGCGGGAAGCGAAGGGAAGGGAAGGGTTTTAGCCTTTTAGGTTTAGCCTCTCTGGGACTGCACAGTCAAGACCAAATGAGACACACCCTGATGGAAAACACAATTCATACTCTATTCACTGCCCCACACAACAAACATGTTATTTTTTAAATTAAATGCTAAACATAGCCCAACAAATTATTATTAAATTCGGCAACTGCCCCGATAGAAACAAACAATCATAAACAAAATTATTTTTTCCTTTTTTTATTCATAGGGATGTTTATTGTACTACGATCAAAGGATAAATCTAAAAATTTAAATCAATTCAATTTAATTGATTTCAATGATTCTCCTCCCTTAAAATTTAAAGTAAATCAATTAGCATTAGTCTATCAACTTCATAATTTTATAAAATTACTAAGATGGCTCTACTGGTTGAGTGGATTATTTTTATAATTTTTATCAAAAAAGTTTTAAATTTTAGTTTTTTTTATTGATTTTGATCTCATTTATTATGATATTATTTAATGTTATTAAATTTTAATCATATTTATCATATTTTTTTATATTTTAAGTAAAAAAAAGTTCCTTTCAAAAAAAGTATTAAAAAAATTGACTTATATGTATCAAATATGAATTATTATATTATGTGAGAATATTTTTAAAAATTATTAATAAAATCATATTTAGAAATTTTTTTAATATCTAATTTAATTCAATTTTTTATTTATAATATTTATTTATAA